AAAACCCAAGAAAAGACAGCAAAATATTTCAGAAAAAGCACCGTACACCAACGCTGTGTGCAAAAATCGCAGTGGGATGCAAGTCAAACAACAACAACAACCACAAGACAACTTAGATTAAGACCATCAGTTAGGTCCCAGGTGCACACATTCTGATGGACTCTCGTTGTGTCCCGCCGACATGTACCTCTCCATTTGTTTTGTGAACTCGTTGTGCGTGAGGTTTGCTCGTATTTATCCCGAGCCCAACTTTGCAGCCTTCTTTATTAAATTATTCGAACGTTTCCTGCAGTTTATTTCAAGTGGACGTCAGAGTAATGACTATGATTGTCACCTCTCTAAAAAAAGACGTGCGCAATTAAATTACAGCCGAGCAAAATCGAACGGCGGCAGTGAGAACCAAAGATCGAGCCGCTGGTCCTCAGAAGTTGAAAACTAAAATAAAGAGCCATGCTTTCCCAAGTTGTATTATTATTATTAATTCAGTAAAGTACATATACAGAGCTTTTCTCAATCCACTGCTGGATGACTTCCTCGCTACACTGTGCAGGTTGTAGGCAATATTAACCAAACTTTATCACGATGATCAGTGCGGATTGGTGAAAACAGGAAGCATAGAAGTACAGCACAACGATGTAATTATGCAGCCCTCTACTTCCTGCACACCGCTCAATCCTGCAACCTATAACACCTGTTATGCAGGGTGGCTGCTCATCGAAGCACTATGGCTCATTCCCGTTAGGCTCCCAGGATCTGGTGAGAGCTGTTGCATTCTGGGTGATTTGGTTGCAGTAATGTCAGCCACTTTTATTCACTTTTGCTGGCGAGTTATGATATTTTTGGCAAATTCAATTCAACTTCCAGACTGATGCATACACGGCGAGTCTGCGATCTCATGTGTTGGAACGCCGTGTTCCACTTGTTTTTATTGAGCCAGCTTCCTAAACCTTTATTTTAAGAAAACCACTTAATGTAATGAATACGCCTGCCACAGGAAACACTGCATACCACGGAGCAATCAGAATCCGGGTCTCATATCCTGAAGCTGATGTAGTCTGAAATGAAATCAACTAACCCATGACTTCACTGCCCAACTGTCTCTGAACTTAGCATTCTATGTAATATGGGTAGTCTATTAGTGGATGGCATGTTCATTAATCATTGTCATCATCATCATCAATAATTCATATTTTTATCTTGATTTTAATCACCACCATTATTATTACTACCACCATCATCATCATCATCCTCACCTTGCGGGTGCAGGGTGACTCAGAGGTCAGAGTGCTGATATGTTTGGGTTCGAATCCAGGCAGCTTCCCGTGATTAAGCCGAGTCATCAAGTGGAGTGACTTGCTGATCTCAGCACGGTTACCAAAGTCTGCAGCAAAAAAAAAATAGTTTGATTATCATGCGATGAAATGTTTTCTCTGTAGTGGGATTAGTGGGGCAACTGCTGCTCTCTTAATGTGGTTAAGAGCTGACATGAATATATTTCAGAAGCTTTTCTGTGACGCCTCCTTCCACGAGCCCTTTCTGTGGATTTCTGCTGTCCCGTGGTCACATCAGGTAACACGTAACACCGAGACAAGATTAAACACCAAAAAAGTGCAATAAAAAGTCAAACAATAACACGGAGACAGAATTACATAACATCTCGATTACGATGATCTATTCCGGGCAACGGTTTTATTGCGTTTCGTGTCGCGGAGTTGTGGTCATGCGGAAGGCTTATGAGCAATGAGACGATTACATCGCTCGCGTGGAGGCGGCCGTATCTCATCCGTGACGGCTCAGGCCACGATCTGGCACGGGGCTTTATTTAAAGCTTCCCTTTCCCATAAACTCCGCGTGCATAATCAAGTTATGGCTCCACCTATGACGTACTAAGTAATTGCAGTGCCGTTGCCATTAAGCTTTGGCACACATGCACACACACACACAAAGAATTGGCCTTTAAATTTGCACTTAAAAGGGAAAATAAATAGAAGCCCAAGTCATTATCTTGCCAGAACACGAGGACGTATTGCACATGCGACGGGCGTGTTGACGTCTTCTTGTGTTCCTCGTGCAAATGCGAGATCGTTTTGCATCATTCTAATGAGTTGTAAAACAGGGGGGCAGGAACAAACCCCCCCCCAAAAGACAAATTAATTTTTACCCGTGTGTGTGGAGACGAGCGCGGATCAGTGGAGATGTGCGCAGCGTGTGTGCGGTGTCTTTGTGCGCGTGTTTTCATCACGCAGCTTCGTTGCGGCACGGCAGCTGTGCCCGCCACTGGAAGTGTTCACTGAGGAGGGAACGAGGTTGCGCACTTGTGCATCATTCATTACGTCTACCAAGGCAGAGAGACTCGGCAGCGCTACGATTCCACACACAGGAGGCCGTCAATCCCCTCCGATAAGCACGGTTTTGGCTACATAGGGTGCGAAAGTAGTTTGCGCCGGATGCAGAACTTCATACACAGGTAACCAACCGTGCGAATTGGAGGTGCGACAAAATACAAAGTTCTAAAGGAACGAGTTTTCAACGTAGATTTCAAAGTGCGTAGCTCCGGTGGCTTCCCAACATCGGAAGGAAGAGCGTTCCAGACGACCGCATGAGCGCGTACATTCCCCGCGATTCTCACGGTGCAACGATTCTCCCCAAAACGACCACCGTTCACCTCTAACGTCGCCACCGCTGTAGACATGGGACCAAGAGGCGACTGGGGGCCCTTCTGTGCTTCCAGCTGTCCGCCTCTTCTCATCAGTCCACTGGGATTTTGGTTGCTGGGGCCTAAACATGACAATTTCCCGTAGTTTAAAAATAAACGATGCCAAAGTGGTTTCCCCACGTGGACGAGCGCAGGACGGCGCTCGGCCCATTCGTGCAGCCACCTCGAGGCAGTGGTGGAAATTCCACATTGCCGTGGTGGGGCTGAGTCGCGTGAGTTTGCCGAACACGTTTTTTTGTAACACGCCACGCGATGAGCCGCAGAGCCACGGCTTACGGGTCATCCCGCCGAGTATAAAACAAACAACAACAACAACTCTTTTGGGTCGAACTTACTCAGCCTGCGGGCGTTGTTGACTCGTGTCTTTAATGACGCCCCTTTGGGGGAGACAAAAGTTTAAACCCTTTCCGACCTCTTCTCGGCCTCGCCAGCAGAGTCAGCAGGCTACTCATGCTGCCTGAAGTTACGGGCCTAGGCAGAGTTTGACTTCTATATTTTGTGGGGGGTGGGAGGGGGGGTTCGCGTTGTCCCTCGCATTCGGAATCGCGGATGCATATAATTAACTAATTAAACAATCTTCATTGTAAACTACTGAAAATACATCAATGAAGGTGTCCAGTTTGGGAGGGGCGTTGTCCCCCCCCCCCTCGTGCTCCCCATGCAAACTCGGCTCATGGTTATGGGCCAGAGAGACAGGCACCTCAACGGTGGGGCCTGTCCGTGCAAATCGCGCTGCGAACAACAACAACAACGAAGCACCCTCGCTCGAGATGCTGTTAGCTCACGCCGGTGGGAGTACGCACACTTTGCACCACCGCGTGCAACCTACCGATCGATCGACTGGGTGGAAAAAGCACGCCGTTTTTATATTTGAAAAATATAGATTTTTTTTTGCGCTGTCGCAGAGCGTTGTCAGTATCAGCATGAACAAATAAATAATCATGTTTGTTCAGGCGGACATTTGCTTTTCATTTGTTGCCCAAAATGGTCTGCAACAGAGCGAGATGAGTTTTAAATGAGTTCGGGACGCGCACGTTCCATCGAAGATGCTGTTTATCGTGCCGAATAGGAGGCAAATCTAAAATTGTGAAACGTTGCAAAAAATACACTCCGATTGCATTGGAGTGGCAGCCGTCCCACAATAAACCAGAAACAGACGTTCGCTGTGGGCATGGCTTCAGACGGGAATTGTCGCGTGCTGCCACATTCGGTCTGCCGAAGTGAAATTCTCTGGAACGGCACCAGCTGTGGCTGCGTGCTGCGCCTGTGGACATTGGGGTGTGTGTGTGGGGGGGTGTAACACCAGTGACGATTAAAGTCTGGCTGTTGCCTGACGATGCTAATTGTAACTACTGGCGAAACGTCGTGCTCAGATTGTAAATGTTGTGGGTTTACTCTCCCACACAACGGCGTGCTGTACTAGTGACGAATTGGCACGTTCTGTTTACGTGACAAACCTTACTAATTGGCTGTGTCGGGTGGTGGAGGGTTTAACGATACATTTATATTTGTGTTATCTAATCCAAAAAGACCTATTATGGATAATATTGGTCACGAGAGCCTCCGTGTTCAACTGAGCAGTGGTTAGTGCACTGCGCTATGAACCTAACGACCCGAGTTCGATTCCCGCTGACGGCCTCGCGAGTTGGCACAGTGGGGAACACAGGTCGTGTATTTGCCAGTGATCTCAATTGGTCGACCCATGGCACCTCAGTCTGTCCTGTGACCTCCTGCCAGCAGGCCTTAGACACTTCACGTGGCCTCCAAGTGCACCAAGCATGGCACAAGCGCCTTGGTGACATCACTGCCACTTGGTGGCGAACGGCAGCACTTGTTGTTGTAACACCAATCAACTTCAAGGACAGTGCATATCATTATCAGAGTTGTTTATTTTTGTTTGCATTTTGACTGCTTGTGTTGTGATTATTGCAAACATGATGCCTTGTATAAAGGTGTCAGTTTGTGCATCAGTTGAAAGGGTAAAACCCTATTACTATATTTTGCCACTGGTAAATGAGGTCTCATAGTGTAACACCAGTGATTATTATTATTATTTGCACCAATCCTGGACATCCGCTCGTTCAACTCGGCCTTAAATGAGCCCCTGTTACGCTGTGTAGAACATGAGCACTGGGGAGAGGTGACAGCGGCCGGGGCGTGGTGCTGTCGCATCCACCCTCGCGTCTCTCCGTGCCTGCCTTCGCTGACAGCTCTTGTCCCCAGCAGTGTTGTGCGGCCATTCACGGGGGAATCTTTACCTTTGTTCCGTGGGGTGTCATTGCAGGTCCAGCAGCGAGATCAGCGAGGGTTTCGGTCGGGAGGCTGCGCGTCCCTCCAGCCATGGACGCAGCGGTTCCGGCTGCCCAGGAGGCTCCGCCGCAGGTGAGCAGCGACGCGGGCCTCTCGTGCCGCACCACGGGGCGACCTGCCCGCGGATTAGCGCGAGCTCACGGTACAAACCTGCGGAATCACCCTCACCGTGGACACGGGGGGCCATCCTCCTCGATCTGGCGCGAGATTAGTTCCGGAATTTCTTTCTCTGGTCGCACCCCCCCTGCCCCCCCGTGATCCGTGGATCAAAAAACGACCGAAGACGCCGGCGTACGGCAGCCAACAGCAGTTCATGTGAATGCCGTCGCAAGAGGTCAAACAACGTTTGACGCAACGGACCTTCGCTGACTGTGCGTGATGATTGAATGAATCCTTGCTCTTTCCCCCCGACAACTCGCGTCCCACAGTTTTTTTGTTGTCTTTAGTTTGTTGTCCTTCCCCCGCACCTCCGATTCGCAAGGACGGCTACGTACCGTGCGAAAGAAGTTCAACATCCGTGCAAATCACCATGAGGCTATGTCCTCTGCCTATGATCCAGGAGTGTCAAATCCACGATCACATGGTGGTTGTGAGTGCCGGTCTCCCACGGGGAAAGGCACATCTGTGTACTTCCGCTTGTAAATAGTTACATGCATATTTGCACGTGCACGAATGCACCCTCCATCTTTACAAGGCTGCTCGCTCATAGCTCTCTCGTCGAAGCCAGTGCGCAAGTCGCCTCTTGAGCCATCAAATAATTCCTTGGCTTTGTCCATTTTCATGATAAAAAAGAGTCGTTGATTTGTTTTGCCAATAGACCCTAGATGGCCATGTGGGAAAGGCTGCTTACAATACAAACTGTGCATTCACTGCTTCTCAGCGAGGTAGAAACGCAGTGATGTCCTCCAGGCGTCTCTCAGCCTGTGCCCAGGTGGCTGACTCCGAGTGTCAGCGGTTCACAGCGCGACAGGGCCGTTGCCGTGGGAGCTGCGGTACACGGCTGTGTGTGTGTATCTGTGTGTGTGTATCTGTGTGTGTGTGTGTGTCTGTGTGTGTGTATCTGTGTGTGTGTGTGTCTGTGTGTGTGTATCTGTGTGTGTGTGTATCTGTGTGTGTGTATCTGTGTGTGTGTGTGTGTATCTGTGTGTGTGTATCTGTGTGTGTGTATCTGTGTATGGATGTCCGCTGGGTTTCTTTCCCACCGTACGCAGCCAACCGTTCTAATCGGAGGTGCGGGCGGTTGTGCCTGCCTGGATCGCGTTTTGTCTGCAAACGTCCTCTCAGTTCCAGGGCAAAGGAGAAGAGAGTTGAGAGTTCTCTTCTCGTGCGTGCTTTTTGCGTGGTTTTTGTTTGTTTTTAAATTACGGTTGCCGAGCACAGGCTCGAACGTCGAGTGGTTGCACCGCTCCGCTCCTCCTGACCCAATGTTCTGGCTCGGCCGCCTCAGTGTAGAATGACGAGGGGGAGGAAGGGCAGGCCCAAAGGCCCCAAAATATCGGTTCATCTATTTGGCCCGCGCCGACTCGACTCCCCACGCGCGCGGTGAGTGAGAGACTCGGGCAATTGCTGTACCACGTGCAGCACCGCGGTGGTGCGTGACGGATTCTGTGACTGTCCAGAGGACAGCGCAGGCAGAGGGTCAGGGGGCAGAATCGGACATGTGCAGTCTGGCTCATCATTGATTTTGGGGTCAGATCGCTATTTGAGTAAAACGTGTCGTACACCCTCCTGTACACAACAACAGCAGTAAACAACAGCAGCAGTGCCATACACAACAACATCAGTAAACAACAGCAGCGCCATACACATGCGCACCTAGGCTGTGGTCTGCGCTGCCAACACCAGACTAAAGTATTCCTCAATGAGAAAAAAAGACTGAAATCATGACCAACGTACGTAAATGTTTGTGTGTTGAACTTCTTTCGCACCGCATGTAGCCAACCGCGCTAATCGGAGGTGCGGGGGAAGGACAACAAACTAAGCACAAAAAGCAGTTATAAACAAACTAGTTTTAAATCTCGATGATTTAAAAGTGCGTAGCTCCAGTGGCTTCCAAATATCGGAAGGAAGAGCGTTCCAGACGGCCGCAGAAGCGCATCTGAAAGTGCGCGATGAGGTGACCGTCTTTGTTCGATGGTTAGCAGCCAAAAGCCGCCGTTGCTGTGAGGACGACTAGAGTTTGCGTGATGATTTATGCTCCTTGACGATTATCAGCACGTGATTGTGGTTCATTTGTGAAATATTGTGGTCCTTCGGCTGACACAGCCAATTGACAACGTCGTCACGTGATGAACAAACGTGGCCAATTCACCACTGCTTCAGCAGCAGCGCCACCGTTGTGTTGGAGAGCGATCCACAACACATTCAACAATTCTGGTACACAAACATGTGCACGCGGGCAGACACGTGCACCCAGCTGTACTATCGCAGGTCTCGCATGTTCGGGGTCCATCTGTGTGCCCCCTACCCTCACCGCGGCGGTGGTGATCCTTGCGCGTCGCGACGTATTGGTCTCCGCCACCCTGGCCCCGCGCCACCAGCTGTCGCTCTCGTGGAGGAATCATCGTGCCGAGCGGAAGATCATTCTTGAGAGACGTTTCTGGGGTTCAATCCCATGGAAACTCGTGAACAAAGCCCTTTTATCTTTCGAGGGTTTTCAGTCAGGTGCGTGCCATTAACAGGGCGCAAACTCAACTCTTTTACGCCCCTATTGGTATTTTCCGTCGGCTGGCGTGCCAGCCACTGGTATGCCGTGCCAAGTCATTGACTCGACAAGAGGATTGAGGCTGTCGTGGAGAAGTCCATCTCGCTCCTGCGAGATCCAAATTTTAAAACACTTCCCCCGCAAATGTCCCACTTGCGATGGTACAGAGCGACCATCCTCCACCTGCTGCGAACATTTGGCAGGCACTCTTGAAAGAGCAGTCGTGAGACTGTGTAAACATGCCAATAATACATTTGGTGATCCAGTGGGGCGATGTTGAGTTTGCTTAAGCTCATAAATCTCTTACCCAGACGATTTGGTGGTTGGCACAGTTTATAGTTGCTATTTTTGGTCACATCGTGTAAATAAAATGCGTGTCGTAAACCCTCCTGCAACCAACACAGCCAATCAATCAAGATGAATGTATGTTGAACTTCTTTCGCACCGTAGCTAGCCAACCGCGCTAATCGGAAGTGCAGGAACGTTGTCACATGAATGTTTTGGGTTTACTCTCAAAGACACCGGTGTACTGAACTAGTAACGAATTGGCACATTTTTTTTACGTGACAAACCTTATTCATTGGCTGTATCGGGTGGTCGTGGGTTCAACGACACATTTCTATTTACGCGATCAAACCCAAGAAAGTCTGCGTGTTAAACTCTCACCACCAACTGTCCACTCACTCACAACCCATGTTATTAGTGAAGAGATCTGCAGCAGAGATTGTGAAGGGTCTGTCAGGAAGATCAGCCTATTTGTGGTATCATCCTTCCAAAGATAAAACTTACCATTTGTTCATTTGCACACAGGAGTTAATACTGATCCATCAGCGTGGGATGACGTTTTGTACGTGGTAGGATTTGTGGTCGTGGTGCCACATAGATTCTGAGACATTTTGTAAACATTCGTTTTTAGCGTATACATTTTAAAATAAATATAAAAAGCAAAAAAAACTACTTTCTTTTAGCTTGGGGTCATCTACGGTTTCTTCCCAATGGAATTTTGTTGCATGCTGCAAAAACACCAGGGCTGCGTTGAGGCCCTGCTGCTCTCTGCTCATGTGACGCATCGCCAACAACCTAGCGGGTTGGACTGCGGTCGTGACGCACGACAATCGTCGCTCGCTGCTTGTTTCACTCGTACATGACGTCGTTCGCATTTGTGGATAAAGCGGAGTTCTTTTTCAAGCAGCACATTTACGCACGTGCATGTTCCCACAAAAGTTGAAGCTCGCAACGGTGGCCGTGTGCAAGGCCGCAGTCGTGACGTCCCTCACTCCAGAGTCTATTGGCCAAGCTGTAAAGAGACGGCACGGCACGCTGCACGGAGAGGCCAGTGACTGGTCGCGTGCAACGACGGGTGATGACTTCGCTTCACTCTTACGGCCGTCGACGATAAAGTAACGGGCCCCGAAGCAAACCGCTTGGCGACGCGGCAGCGTTAGCAGTGGTGGCGCGCGCGCACAAAGGGCAACAGACTCGACACGTTTGTCAACTTGCGCGCTGTGAAGCAGGCCCATTGCCCAAAACGTCGTCTGTGATACGCTCTTCCTTTTGAGGGACGACACACCAAACGCATTTTGTGTAACCGGATCCAGTCTCAACATGAAACTCTTTTTGTGCACGGAATCAAAGAGCGCCAACACACTTACGCATGCAGTGTTTTTATTTCACTAATCGCTGAGCATTCAGCTTTGCTGCAAGTCAATTTACTTGCCCTGATAGAGGAGATTGTTTTTCAAACCACGCCGTGCATCGGCAAGCGAATGAGCTGGCGGTCTCAAGAGCGGCGCCTGAGGAGGTGTCGTAGCGCCGCGCTCGGACGTTGGAGTCACATTCCATCCGTCTCCTCCCGCTTCTTCACCAAACATGGCCAGGCAGTGTCAACGATCCTTCCAGGCTGTTCTCACAGCAGCGTTTCTGCGATTTTATAAACACAGGTCGTATATATATATGTATCCGCGGTTTAGTTTAGATGAAGCCGAACACGCCCTCGTACTGGACCTGTAAGCCGACAGATGACGAGCTGAGAGCTGAGAGCTTGGCCTGGCGGCTATGCGGCGACACAGCGAGCGGCACAGAGAGAGGCACAGCGACAGAGGCACGATTGGGGTTTGGCAGATCGACAAAATTCACGGATAGGAGGAATGTTCAGGGTTGTTTTGCGTCTGTAATACAATCATCCTCTTTATCCACCGCATGAGGTGCCGAGTGTTTCTAATTTCTGATGATTTTTTTTCTCCCGATTATGCTACGGCTGTTTAATTGGGGATCATACGGCAAGGCCAGGCAATGTTTTATTGGGAATTCTTGCAGCCAGCAGTAGTGCTGTACCACCCTCGTGTCAGAGAGCGGCTCATGGAGAGGG